GAACAATTATTGCTTCCTTGTAAACATTTTCATATTGTGTATGTTTTATGGAGCAATCGTTGATGGGTCTTCGAGTAGTGGAAGAACAGGTCCAAGCCCACCACGGATGTTAAGAAGAAGCGTTGTTGGCCCACTGGGACTCAGAAAGTGGTATGTTTATTGGACTGCATCACAAGAGACTAGCGGTTTAGCTGTCAACTACTCTGTGAAACTTTGTACGAAGGACTGTGTAGATGCAGACCATAATAATTATTCCTGCAAATGGAGTAGTAACCCCCAATGCCAACCCACAAACATTTTAAGTGCAAATAAGGAATTTTCTTGCGTTTTGGAGAAAACAGTCTTCTTCTCATGCATTGGGGAATTTGGGGACTATACTATTTGTGTGGTAGCCTCAAATGAAGTTGGAACTGCTGAAAGCTGCATTTTTGCACCATACATTGGAAGGCATTTAGCTACTCCTCTACCGCCTACAAACTTCTCTGTTCTGACTGAACAGACAGGAGATGTGAGGGTAAAATGGAAACTTGATTCAGTGTACTCTCGTTATAAGACACTAATTGTCAAAGTAACATACCATGCAGAAAATAAGGCTAACAAGACCAAGGAAGTGACACAGAAAACCACATTCACAATAGTAAAAAAGCTGGAAGCAAGTACAAAGTATTGCTTCTATGTCACATTACAAACATTGACTCCTGATGAAAAGCCCAGTGCGCCAAGTAATGTGCTAGGACCAAAATGTGTCTGGACACCAGCAGCACGTCCAATCAATCCACCGGTGGTTCAGTTTGATCGCTCTGTGCGTTTTCCTGATGATAAATCTCTGAGAAATGTGACTGTGGAATGGACGCTGGTAAAACAATCTTCTTGGAAAGGCACTCCAGGACAATATGTCCTCTACACTGTGTACCGTCTGCTAAGCCGCAAGCATTTGTCGCAGGGGAACGATACATATATTGTAAGTGCTTCATCAAACAGAACTCTACTGCAAAGACTCAACTCTGCAGACAGTTACAATGTTTATATTCAATTACGTAACAAAGAAGGCAAGTACAGTTTTATAGGAAGTCCGTATGAAATCAAGCCATTGCAAGAGAGCTCATCCCAGGCAAGCAAAGAAGGAGGATTCACAGCTGCAAAGATAGGTTCAATTGTGGGTGCTGTGATTGTTGGTGTACTAGCAGCTGGGGCTGGTCTTTATTTGCTGTTTAATTTCAGGAAAAGTCAAATGGAAAATGCTTCTCGAATACCCTTGGATGAGTTAGTTACGCTAGATAACCCCCCTGACCTACATGAGTATAACATGGCGAATCAAGCAGAACACAATTATTATTCCGCCTTATACGCATACACAGGGTGCAAAGAAAGTCATTTTTAAAGCTTGCCATTACGGCAAGCTGAAGCTAGCATATACTAGCCCAAACATCATTTCAGCTAGCCCCAAATACATTTTGATGAGCAGAATTGATTTCACAGTTCTTCCATAATTTGAATTCCTAAAAAAACTTCACTTGCCCATCAGGCAAGTTAATAATAGAATTCACTAGCCTGATAGCAAAATCCACTAGCCCCACTGCCGGGCTATTGGACACTACTTTCTTTGCACGCTGATACCTCCCCCAACAATGCTAAAGATGAAGACTGTAAAGAGAAGAATCAGATCCATAGAGATCTGTGGAACAAAATTCAATTTGCTAGGAACAAAGCCACGTGGAGTCTAAAATTAATCATGAGATGGCAATTATCTTTTAGAGTCTGATAAGCTCAATAGACCTTTTTACTGATACGGCAGCCATATTGAATTAATTCGATTTAAGGAGTATTATAGGATGCCCAGGGGGCATGAGCACATTTCGTTTGTATTTTCAAGCGCTTTTCGGGACATTTTTTCTTAAAGTTTCCTTAGAATAAGATTTTAAAGGGAAAAATATCCTTGTGCCATGTTTTGGTGTAATAATGATCGCCTTTTTCTAGTTTAGAATTAGAAATATGTTCTTTCACTGTATATTTCTCGGGAAAAAGGCACTCATTATTACATCAAAACACGGCTCAAGGATCATGCTGCGAACTATTCTGAACGATCTTCACTTTCACAACACCTTTCAGTTCGTGAAATATGATGCTTCAGCCTAATTTTTTTTTTCACCGCTTTCGGCACAGAACAAAGTCAAAGAGGTTTGACCAGTAAATTCTTTATTATTTGTAGCTGTTAAGTAAAGGTAAGGCAGCTCCAGCTAGCAGTATTTCATCACAAAAACAACACATTAAATTTTTTTTTAGGAAGCGCCATCTTAACATGGACGTATTTAAAAATTTGCTTTTCCCTAAAATTGATTTCAAAAGAGACATGATTCGCCCAAAATTTGATTCCCGTATGGTAAATGCTTATTGGCTAATAACATGAAAGGTCAAGCAGACGTAAGATTATGTAAATTAGGGGGCGGTTGACTGCTTGTTAAATAAATGTATCAGGGGTTTTTTTTTCCCCCTCGAGCTA